GGCCCCAAAGGCGAGGAGTGATCCAGCAGATAAAGTTTATTGTTATTCCATGTGGTTTTGTAACTCTTCCTGTGCTACTTCTCCAGATATAGCTAATTTGCAGAAGTTGTGTAACAGTGGCTATTGCCTTCCCTTGGGCTGTATCCAAATTCACACAGTCCTGCTACAGCTCACCAAAAAAGTTCTTGCCCCTTGAAAAAATCTCCTTCAGATTAATTTTTGGTCAAAAAGCTAAAGAAAACAACATCATGGCCTTATTTAAGGCATATGCTTTTGATACAACAAAAGAAAATAAATCAAATTACACAATGTCATCCCATTGTAGTTTGTAAGGGTCCAGATACATATGCTATCAGAAACTTTGCTATCCGCTTCCATGTGGATTTTCATTAGTGCTTGAACCACATAATCATAAAAATACCTTTTTTTTTTTTTGAGACGGAGTTTCACTCTTGTTACCCAGGCTGGAGTGCAATGGCACGATCTCGGCTCACCGCAACCTCCGCCTCCTGGGCTCAGGCAATTCTCCTGCCTCAGCCTCCTGAGTAGCTGGGACTACAGGCACGCGCCACCATGCCCAGCTAATTTTTTTGTATTTTTAGTAGAGACGGGGTTTCACCATGTTGACCAGGATGGTCTCGATCTCTTGACCTCGTGATCCACCCACCTCGGCCTCCCAAAGTGCTGGGATTACAGGCTTGAGCCACCGCACCCGGCCTTTTTTTTTTTTTTTTTTTTAAACCGCATGGCTTCAACAGCTGATGAAGTATACCTACTTTAGTTTGAAGGTTTTGTAGACTTTTGGCCACTAGGTGGTGGTATTGACAAGTACACTTTACACACTCCATTTATTACTTGAAGCTTTTAGAGATATGTAAACAGTTAAAAAATAAGACAAGCTACAAAAATTAGAAATAAAAAAATTAAGTAGACAGGGTGCAATGGCTCATGTCTATAATCCCAGCATTTTGGGAGGCTAAGGCAGGAAGATCCATTGAACCCAGGAGTTAGAGACCAGCCCAGGCACATAGTGAGACTTGGTCTCTAGTAAAAATAAAAATAAAATTAGCCAGGCATCGAGGCATACTCAGGAGGCTGAGGCAGGAGGATCACTTGAGCCAAGGAGGTGGAGGCTGCAGTGAACCATGTTTGCACCACTGAACTCCAGCCTGGGCAGCAGAGTGAGATCCTGACTTAAAAAAAAAAATTGTTTTGAGATGGAGCCTTGCTCTGTCACCCAGGCTGAGAGTGCAGTGGCGTGATCTTGGCTGACTACAACCTCTGCCTCCCGGGTCCAAGTGATTCCTCTCCTGCAGCCTCCCAAGTAGCTGGGACTACAGGTGCATGCTACCACACCCAGCTAATTTTTTTATTTTTAGTAGAGACAGGGTTTCACTGTGTTGGCCAGGCTGGTCTCAAACTCCTGACCTCAGGTGATCCACCCGCCTCAGCCTCCCAAAGTGCTGGGATTACAGGTGTGAGCCACCACACCTGGCCAAAAATTATTAAAAGTAAAATTAGAAAAACATTCAAGTGCTTGGAAATAACTTGAATTTTAGCACCGTTCATGATAGAGTAGTTACGAAGGTAGACACTTTTTGAGTAGCAGTAAATTCACTTAGTAATTGTAAAGACCTGGAGAATATAATCCTGTTACCTCATTCTAGGTTACTTACCTTTATATGTGATAATTATGTACCTTTATGTATGATCCTTAGGATTCAGTTATTTAAAGAAGCCTTACTGGAGTACTATAAGGCATGTTATGTAATAGTTATATGTTACTAATGTTTTGTATCTGTTTCTTTGATCTGTTACTTTAGGTTTGCTAAAAGATGTTAAGCTTCCAAATATAAAATTTTCTTAAGTTTCAGTTTTGTTAATAAAAATATAGAAATGTGGGGGAAAAATAGAAACTTGAACAGTACTTTTAAGTTAGGACACTTTAAGGACCTAAGGCTATTTCTTGGTTTCAGTATGAAAAATATTTTGTGTATAACCTTGTTTGCTCATAAAATTGACACACTTGTTGTGTACTAAAACTTGGCTATTTAGAATCCTCAAAGAGTGAATCATTTGGAAAAGCCAAGTTTCTGAAACATCTGAGGAATTTTCTCTTTAGGCACCAGTTTTTTTCCAAATTCCAGTGGAAGTGTTCCTAAAATGGATTACTTATTTTCCTGTCTTCCTTAGTGAGCCAAGTAGAAAAGATTCTGCCCTTTCTCAATGAATTGAGGTTCTTCCTGTGAGTATCAGGAATGTTCTCCTCTGTATGGCAGTGTTTTAAAGCCTGTCACTGACTATGTGGAATATTTTTTGTTTGTTTGTTTTGAGACGAGGTCTTACACTGTTGCCGGGCTGCACTGCAGTGGTGCAGTCATGGCTTACTGCCACCTCAATCTCCCAGTCCCAAGCGATCCTCCTACCTCAGCTTCCCAAGTAGCTGACACTATAGGCATGCACCACTGTGCGTGACTAGTTGTTTTAAATTTATTTTTTGTAGAGATGGGATCTCACTGTGTTGCCCAAGCTGGTCTTGAACTCCTAGGCCCAAGCAGTCCTCCTGCCTGGATCAACCAAAGTGCTAAGGTCCAGATGTGAGCCACTGAGCCTAGTATTCTTTACCTTTGTGTAGAATGTCTCCAAATTGCTATGCCTTTGAGTTCCTGTGACTGCTCTTTGTTTTTTGTTTTTTTGAGACAGAGTCTGGCTGTGTTGCCCAGGCTAGAGTGCAGTGGCGCAATCTCAGCTCATTGCCACCTCCGCCTCAGCCTCCCGAATAGCTGGGACTACAGGTGTGCACTACCACACCTAGCTAATTTTTATATTTTTTAGTAGAGATGAGCTTTCACCATGTCGATCAGGCTGATCTCGAACTCCTGACCTTAGTTGATTTGCCCACTTTGGCCTTCCAAAGTGCTGGGATTATAAACATGAGCCACCGTACCCAGCCTCTTAATGAATTCTTAAAATCTCTTCTTGCTGTCACTTTGTGTTGCCTATGGCCTGCCTGTGACTAGCACTTCCTTTCACGTTTCCTTTTTTGTTGATTCTGATTAAACGATAGTTATTTCAGTTACTTGTGAAAGAAAAAGATAGTCTATTAGTCTTCTCTTAATGGTGTATATGGGCCTGAACGTATGAATTTTATAATTTTGGGATACTCTGGGCCTTATAAAATATCTGGTTTTAGAATGTGTATGAAAATATTTAAATATTTGGAGGTGATGGGTGGAATCTGAAAAACTGGATGAAAGTGTTTGCTTTTATTTTTGGCCCCTTCTCTGGCCTTCATGTCTCTATTTGGGAATCCCTTTGCTTTGGGATGGTATAAGTATGTGACACTGGAAACCTCTTTGAGGCAGATACAGTACTTCACCACTCCTTGCTATTTACTTTCCTTTTTTTCGTTTTACTCCCCTACCCACTTTGACTTTTTTGGACTCTGTTTGCACGGCTGTATTATTCTTCCTTTGTACTCTCTCCTTTATTAGCTTTTGGTAATGTTAGGAACTTTGATAAGCCTTGCTAGCAGTTTTAAAGCAAAGAAAGCTGCTGGACCCTTTTGTGAGATTTAGCATTAGTTAAGTGTTAAAAATAATTCCCAATAGGTGTGTGATTTAAATAAAAAACTCATACAGTTATTTTCATGAGATTTACAGTGCTGTTTCTTGTGGCATTTGACCAGTTCTAACTTTGGCAATCAGGTTTAGCCATTAAATTTTCTCCTCCCTCTCCACCTCCCTTTCCCCACCCTCATTTCCTTTGGATTTTTCACTTCCTTTCTTTGTTTACTGCACCCATGTTCATAGTTGCCTACATTCATGTGGAATAAATGTTTCATGTCCATAATTCTTGGCTCCTAGGAGATAAAAATTGTATGCAATAATGTTATTGATCATATTTCATTGGTTTTCTATAATGTGCATTGTGCAGCACCTCTAGGCATGTTGCTGTCAGATTAAGTATATATTTTAATACTTTCTGAGACTGTTAATTTAGAGCTTGAATATTTACCACATCGTAAGGCAAGTTGTTGGCTGAATACTTTGTATTGTAGCCATAACACTTGAATTCAAGAAGGGTCATATTTGGGAGGCCCCTAGTAATGCATAGAGACAATCTTCATTCCAGCAAACTTGACAGAAATATGTGCATAAGAATTTATTGTACTGATTTCAAGGCCAAAATTTTGCATTAAGCACATACTATTCTACCTTTCTATTACAAAGTCATTTTTTATTACCTGCAGTCCCGCCCTGCAAACATCTACATTGTGTGTAATCTTTTGCTTACATCCATAGTCAAAATGAAAGACGCATAACCTTGAAATTGCTGGGTTATTTCAATCCTACTAGCAACAGCTTTTGTGGTTCACTAATGAAATAGTCTCAGACTTTTGTTCAGAAGGGCTGCAATTAGGAACCTAGTAATGGATGGATTTGTTGCTGCTCATAATATTCCTTCAGGCAAAGGAAGTACACTGCCTGTGCCATGTGGAGTTCATTGTGCCATCAGTTTAATGACAGAGACCTCGTAAAGATCATTTCTGCATTTTTTTTTTTTTTTGCTCTTTGTTTATTCAGTCTCTATTTGTCTACCTTAATTTTTCTCGTTTTTTGGTGTTCATTACAATTGAGGTCTTATTTGATAAGTTTATACTGATTGCTTTGTATTCCCTTAGCAGCATGGGCAGCATCATTATACATTATCCTACAGTGTGTATACATGTTTGTTGAATCACCACCAAAGTGTTAGAGATATGGAAAGAGAATAAAGTACTAAAGACCATAAAGACCTAGGTTCTAGTCCTGGCTCAGCCACTGACTAATTGTGTGACTTTGGGAAGTCATTAAATCTGTCTGGGCCTCAATTTCTTTATCTTCGAAATAAAACAGCATTTGCTTACTGTGCCATTTTAATACGTAGTATAAGAAGCTGTGTGTTCTTGGAATTGTTGAATATGCAAATATACTGAAAACTGTGGTTTTCTTTTTCAGGACAGTGGCTTTGTGCATATTCATACTCCAATAATCACATCCAATGACTGTGAGGGAGCTGGAGAACTTTTTCAACTTGAAGTAAGTTATGCTTCCCATCTTGAGGGATACGTTGCTGTTTAATATTTTGCATCTGAGGTTTTGAGATGTAATACTAGTTTTGTGGACAGAAGATTATGAGCAGCACCTGAAATTGTCAATAAAAATCCTTGGAAAAAGTCACATAAACAATCAAACCAGTCTGATTTCCTATACCACCAGCTGTTTTACACTGTGACAGAAGAGTGAATTTTTAAATTAGCACTCCCTATGCTTTTCTGAAGTTACTGTGAATTGGTGAACTAGAGAAATTTGAAGAGGTAAATGAGGATTTTAAGCTCTCTCTTACACAGATTCAATCCAGTTAATATTTGTGGATGTAAGTCATATTTTAAAAGAGAAATAAAAATAGGAAAGCATACATGTAAATATCATTTTCTTTTTCAAAGTCTTCTGAAAGTTAATTTTTCCTAAGAATGATTTATGTTCTGTATATCCCATGAAGGCTCTTTAATTTGTTTAGCAATCATCTTGAGTTCCTAGCATTGTCAGCTGCCCTTATTGCAGATCATTTTTTAAGTTACCAGTTTTTCTTACTTGTAGGCAGTTGAAAGCCTTGCATTTACCAGTTTGATAGCTGTTTAAAATCATTGGCCAGTTGTATAATAATGGACAGAGAGAATGGTATGATGATGAGTGATGCTTTGGTACTTCTTTTGTTTGTTTACTGATTTCTTTATCTTTAAGATGTCAGGATTCTTGTTTATATATTTGGTTGATTCTGTCAAATGACAAAGTGTGTATGTAACTGCTTTCTCTGGTTCAGTGCTTTCTGACTCTTAATAATGGTGATGCTTCTTTATATTGTTGAACAAAGCATTCTCTGGGAGAAATTGTCCTGATATGTTGAAGTCATTCAGAATGATAATCAAATGCTGTCTTCAATCAAATGCTGTCTTCATCATACATGACTGGAAGAAATCTTGATGCTGATCAGCCTTCTGCAAAAAGCAGAATAAAAATGCCTTGTTGAACGTTTAAAGTGGGAGTATTAGCATCTGTATATATGAATTCAAAGAAGGCAGCAGATGACAAAATAACCAAATGTAAATTCTGGAAAACATTCTCCTCTAGGTGTTTATTTTCTCTTTGCACCTTAATTTTTTTGCATATTGAAGCGAAGAATTACTCACTGTATTTCTAAATTCCTTAATCTAAACCACTGAATGTTCAATAAATGGCTGGGAAAAAAAGGCATAATTTAAAGGAGTCTTTACAAATAAGTAGGAATTATTAAACAGACCCAAATTAAACAAGTAAAAAAGTTTTTAACGTGCTTAAATAAAGATATGTTTGGAGATAACCGCATTGCTACCAGGGAAATTGGATAAGCAACTCTGAGTGATCTCGTACATATATATGTATCTTGGCCTCTAAACCTAAGACAGGTTACCAGATAAGTGTGACTAAATAGGAAGAGGAGAAAATATGTATTTCTGAAGCTAAACAAATGAGAAGTATATTATGTTTATATTATTTCAAAGCCAGGGAAAGGAATTTGTGGGATATTTTTTTCTTTTATTGTGGGATTAAATTTGCCTTTGCAGAGTACCAGAAAGAGACACTCTTGAATTCATTGATCCTAGGCTCCTACAGTCAGGATCTAGCTCAGGTTTCAGCTGATAGGTGCTATCTGGCTGTTATGCTATGTTGATCTATTGTCTTTGTTGCTTTCAGAAGTTCAACTGCAAAGACTTGTCTCCTGCCCCTGCCAGCCCTGTATCTTTTTAAAGCAGAGCTGCTGCTTTTCCTACCTCACATACTTCAGTTTCAAGATTCATTGTGTTAATTTCCTCTAGGCTGCCTGTAGAAACATAGGAATTTGAATTTTAGGAGGAGGTGGGCTTTCATATTTGAATTTTTGCTTCTCTTAATGTTGAACGTTTTTTCTCTGACAGAATGAAGTGTCATTAAGTACTGTGTTTAAAGATAAGAGGGCAGCTTTAAGAGGTCACCTTGAAAAAACACAGTAAGAACATGTACTTCTGATATTCTGTTGAGAAGTGAATGCATGCCCTATCATGTTACTTTTCCTTTCCCTCATCCATTTCCTGCTTTAAGACTGATATTTTTTAAGGTTTGGGGACTACTGAATACATTGTGAGAAGCTTCCTTCAAGGCATTTGTTTGTTATTAACAGACATTTGGTACCACCTGTGTTCAAGATGCTATGCTAAATGTTATAAAGATGTAGTTGAGGCTCTATCCTGTCAAGCTAGTGAGTTGGCAGATGTTGATAAAGGAAGGAGCATGCTTTTCCTTCACTCTTGATGTTACTTATCCTGCAAAATTCTGTTTGTACACTTTTTCCTCTTTGTCCTAAGAATTTGGCTGAGTTCTCAAAATTATATTTGGTCTTTATAGTTTTGGAACAATTAGTTTGTCTTTGAGGGGATAGAAGAGATTAAGGCAAGAATTATAGGTTGTGGCTGTCAAAGACAAAATTATAACAAATTTAAAGGTCTTAATTGACTTTCATTTGCAATTCAAGAATCAGGCAATGCTTCATTTTATAGACCGAAAAAGGCTGAGGAAAGCAGAAACAGAAAACAAGCGATTGGTCTTTACAAAGTTGTTTTTCTTGTAAAGGTTAAAGCAGAGGGGACTTCCTTATGCTGGCTAAAACTGTTCTCTTTGGTGATGTGGCTATTATTCCTCTTCTGACTTTTGAGAAGTTAATATAAAGATCTTAGTTTTGGGTTGGTTGTCATGCACAACTATATACAGTTTCATGTTTTTCAGTATGACAAAATAAGGTGGAATTGCTTTGTGTATGCATTTGAGGATACGGTGTTACCAGTTGTAAGTGGTGTGGAATCAAGAGGAAAATGAGGTAGGTCAGTGAGGATTGACTTGGTCAGAAAAACCTTCAAAATGAATGTGTGACCTGACTCTACTTTAGGGAGAATATTCCAGTTAAGAGCAATAATGTAAGAAGAATCAGAGAATTAAAATGAGGTGTAGACAATATACATTCTTCTCATCTTCACGTAGCACATACTCTAAAATCAACCACGTAATTGAACATAAAACAGTCTTCAACAAATGTAACAGAACTGAAAGCGTAGCAAACACACTCTCAGACCACGGCACAATAAAAATAGAAATCAACACAATGAAAATCACTCAATATCATACAGTACAGGGAAATTAAACAACATGCTCCTGAATAACTTTTGGGTAAAATAATGAAATTAAGACAGACCTCAAAAAGTTTTTTGAAAATAATGAGAACGAAGATACAACATACCAGAATCTCTGGGACACAAGTAAAGCAGTGTTAAGAGGGAAATTCATGGCACTAAACGCCCACAGCAAAAAGTTAGAAAGGTCTCAATTTAATAACCTAACTTTACAACGGAAAGAATTAGATAAGGAAGAACAAATCAACCCCAAAGCTAGCAGAAGATGAGAAATAACAAAAATATGAGCTGAACTGAAGGAAACCGAGATGCAAAAAACCATTCAAAATATCAGCAAATCCAGAAGTTGGTTTTCTGAAAAGATTGATAAGATAGGCCACTAGCTAGACTAAGAAAAAAAGAGAGACGATCCAAACACAATTAGAAATGACAAAGGGAATGTTACTACTGACCTCACAGAAATAAACAACCTTCAGAAACTACTATGAATACCTCTAAATTGCTGGAAACTACACCCTCCCAGGACTGAGCCAGGAAAACGTTAATTCCCTAAACAGACCAATAACAAGCTCCAAAACCAAGTAAGAAATAAATAGCCTACCAACCAAAAAAGTCTAGGACCTGAAGGATTCATAGCGGAATTCTACCAGATGTACAATGAAGAGTTGGTACCATTGTGACTGTTACTGTTCCGAAAAACTGAGTAGGTGGGACTTCTCCCCAATTCATTCTGTGAGGCCAGCATCATCTTGATACCAAAACCTGTCAGAAACAGAAGAAAAACAGAAAACATCAGGCCAGTAACCTTGATGAACATTGATGCAGAAATCCTTAACAAAATGCTTGCAAACTGAATCCAGCAGCAAATCAAAAATTGAATCCACCATGAAGTAGATTTCTTTGCTAAAATGCAAGATTGCTTCAGCATACAAAAATCAATCAGTGTGATTCATCACATAAACAGAACTAAAGACAAAAACCACGTGATTATCTCAATAGATGCACACAAGGCTTTTGATAAAATTCAGCATTATTTCATGTTAAAAACTCGCAACAAACTAGATATTGAAGGGACATATCTGAAATAATAAGAGTCATCTCTGACAAACCCACAGCCAACGTTATACTGAATGGGCAAAAGCTGTAAGCATTCCCCTTGAAAACCAGCAGAAGTTAAGGATGCCCTTTCTCACCACTTCTCTTCAACATAGCATTGGAAGTCCTAGCCACAGCATTCAGGCAAGATAAAGAAATAAAGGGCATCTAAATAGGAAGAGAGGAAGTCAAACTATCTTGTTCTTTGCAGATGACATGATTCTATATCTAGAAAATGCCATAGTCTTGGCCCAAAAGCTCCTTCAGCTGATAAATAACTTGAGCAAAGTTGCAGGACACAAAATCAGTGTACAGAAATTGCTAGGATTCCTATACGCCAACAACAACCAAAGTGAGAGCCAAAACAGAAAGTCCCATTCACAGTTGACACACACACACACACACCCCCCCCCCCCCCACCCACCCACCCACCCACCAGGAATACAGCTAACCAGGGAGGTGAAAGAGCTCTACCATGAGAATTATAAAACACTGCTCAGAGAAATCAGAGAAGACACAAACAAATAGAAAAACATCCCATGCTCATGAACAGGAAGAATCAATATTATTAAAATGGCTATACTACCCAAAGCAATTTACAGATTCAGTGCCATTCATATCAAACTATCATCATTCTTCACAGGACTAGAAAAAATTATTTTAACATTTATATGGAACCAAAAAAGAGCCTGGGTAGCCAAGGCAATCCTAAGCAAAAAGAACCAAGCTGGAAGAATCATGTTA